ACTCGTAATTGCACTCATACGTTCACTACACTCACTCAGGTCCACTCATCGGATGACTCACACACACTGATGTTGAGGATGTCTCAGGCGATTCTGTGGCTTCAGCACTCCTAAGGGGAGCGGCGGGGGGGTGTTTCACTCGGCCACTTTCGCAGGATTTTGTGGGGATGTCTCGAGCGGTTTGCCTGTTTTCTGTCCCAACATCCTTCGCTTTCGGAACAGATTTGGAGGATGTCTCGAGCGAGGCGCTCATTTTCACGTTCCTAAGGGGAGCGGCGGGGGGGTGTTTCACTCGGCCCCTTTCGCAGGATTTTGTGGGGACGTCTCGAGCGGTTTGCCTGTTTTCTGTGCCAACATCCTTCGCTTTCGGAGCAGATTTGGAGGATGTCGCGAGCGAGGCGCTCATTTTCACCCCCCAGGTGGGCCAGACTTTGAGGATGTCTCGATCGGTTTGCTTGTTTTGGTGGCCAGGCTCGTGGGCGCAGATTCTTCTCAGGATGCCACAGGAGGCTCCAACAGGCTCCAGGAGGCCCCAGGAGACCACATGAGGTCCCAGGAGGCATCAGGAGGCCACAGAAAGACTCAAGAGGCCACAGGATGTCCCAAGAGGAGAAGGCCTCAGGAAACCACAGGAGGCCCCAGGAGGCAACAGGAAGCGCCAGGAGGCCTCGGAAGGCAACAGGAGGCCCCGAAAGGCCCCAGGAGCAGGAGGCCTCAGAAGGCAACAGGAGTGGCTCCAATCCCATGTGTTTTACGTATGCTCCTATCGATTGGGCCTCACCTGGAGCACGATTCTTTGATGTCACACGTATGTTTCTATAGATTGTCCTTCTCCTGTGTACACATTCCTACATGTGTTACTTATGTTCCTATATGTTGGGCCTCTCCTGGGGCACGAGTCCTTGGTGTTTTACGCGTGTTCCTATAGATTGCCCTTCTCCTGTGGCTCTAATTCGCAATGTTTTATGTACGGCTGTTGCTATATATTGCGCCTCTCCTGGGGCACGAAACCTCCCTAGGAGGTCCCAGGAGGCCCCAAGAGGCTCCTGGAGACCCCAGGAAGCCCCAGTAGGTTTCAGGAGGCCCCAGGAGGCCCCAGGCTCATGCACAGAGACGCGCTCGTACTACTGAGGCTCATTCACACTCCAACTCATTCGCAGTTAGATTTATGTCCAGACCGTCACAACTGAAGCCCGTTTATATTCGAAAGCTCTTGCGCCTAGACATTCACGGCGGACAGGTCCATGCGAATAGATGCACATATGGGGAGCTCCACGCAGTGAATAATTAGAAAGGCGCCGCCTTCCGACCGTGCAACTGTTGCACAATTTGGACCTTTGGGCCATACGATTTGCGGACGTCTCAAGCGAAAGGCAGCATTTTGAAAACAAAACGCCTCATGTGGTAACTGCTGGAGTTGTGAGAAAAGAGTACGCGCGGCGCTTAGGCGAGATCCACATGTTGCAAACAACCCGCCGCCAATCCTGATATATACATATAAATATATACATATATATGTATAAATATATATATATAAGTATATATAAGTATATATATATATAGGAGAACTGTGCAACGAATGTGCGCGGCGCTGAGGCGAGAACCACATGTTCGAAACAACCCGGCCCTCCATCCTTGCAGCTGCTGGAGAACTGCAGCAGCGCTGGGGCGAGAACCACAGTTTGAAAACCATCGGCCCCCCATCACTGGAAATGCTGCTTTGCCTCTGGATAACGAACGAACCTGCTATGACACAAACTCGGGGAAAGAATCCTACTGCATGGGCGCATGGAAAAGCCAAGAGGGGAGAAAAGGAAAACTGGCTGGGGGTGCTCATCGCAGGGGGGGGGGGGGGGGCAGGTCTCCACAGAGGTTCCATCCCTCCGGGGCGGGCCCACGACAGGGCGACCCCACACCCCTCACGCGCCAGCCTCTGGACAAGTGGCGGGAGGAGGGGCAGGAGGAGATTGAGGTGGGGGCGGGCAGCAATGTCACCGCAGGCTGGCCTTGAGCCGCAGACGCAGATCGCAGGGCCCGAAGCCCGCCGCCAGAGAGGCCAGGTGCACGCTCCCTGTTGGCGCCGTCTGTCTTTTTTTTGTTCGGTCCCTAGGGGCATGAACTCTGAAACCTCGAACAAATAAACGATGGTGGACAGTGGCAGGCGGAACCCATTGGAAAGCAGCCACCGCGATCGATGCCACTGCCTAGCGGCGGGTCCAAGACGGCAGTGGCTGTCATGAAACAATAAGCAGGGCCGACCACAACCACGGTTGCGACGCGCAGGCGCCCGGCCACTGCCCGAAAAGTACGGCCCAGCTCCCCCTGGCTCAAGAATCGCTCATTTCATTTTTTGGGCTGCAGCACGTGTCAATGGCCACGCTGGGCCAGGTGCCCCCAAGCAGCCGCGAGGCCAGCTCAACCGCTGCTGGCGAGCTTCTGGACGCACGTGACGTCGCCCCGCACAGCGGCCGCTCCAGGCGCAGCTGGTCCAAGCGGTGGCCGATGAAGCCGATGGGGCGGCCAAGCACGAAGAGTCCGTTCAGGCAGCCGAAACTCATCAGCTCGTCGCACTCCTCCCTCGAGAAGGCGCCACAAGGCCTGATCTTTTCTACGACAGAGAAGGCGACGCAACCGTCGACGTTCAGGACGAGGTCGGCGCGCTTCCGCGTCGTGATCTGCTCCCCCGCCGGCGAAGTCCAGGATCGGGGGCAACTTGAATTGCTTCTTCGCGTGCCCTTTGATGGGGACCGCGCGCATGTCCGGGTTGGCCAGGGACATGACGCGGTGCCCAATGCCCACGACGAGCTGGTTGCCCTTCTTGCACTTGTCGATGAAGTCCTTCGGGGCGACGCCGCCGTCGTAGGCTTCGCCGAAAATCTTCGCGGCGTCGTCGAGCGCCCCGCCGAAGCGCGGGGGGCGCGAAGTCGACAAGGACGGAAACAGCTGGGCGCTTCTCGCCACCATCCAACGCAGTCGCGCACACGGGCATCAACGCCGCCTCGGTGCCCCCGTCGAACTTCAAAGCGATTCCTGGAGACGTCACTGCGGAGACAGAAGGCTTCTCACGCGCGCGCATGCAATCGAAGCCGAGCATGCCCTGGACGGCTCGGCTTTGCAAACTGTAGACGACGAAGGTCGCGTCGGCTGCGGCCTTCACAATGGCGCGCTCCGACGCCGGCGGCGCCAGCTGCCGCGCGCCAGGCCCCTCGTCCTTCACGCCGAGCATCTTGCGCACCAGGGGGCCGCGCGAGGCGCCGAGGTCAGGCTCTTCCTGCGCCGCCGCGAACGCGGGCGCCGCGGGGGTGACGGCCGCGACGCGCGTCTCCGGGCCTGCACAAATCATCCACATCTTGACGTCGCGCCCCACGCGTCGCCCGCGCAATGCCGCCGCGCCTGCGCGAGACGAAGGACGCTGCGACGTCCGCGACATTGGCGACGCCGCCGACGATGATCCGGATCTTGCCCCCAGGATGCTCGAACTTCAACACCGGCGAGAAGAATGTCTCCGCATGCAAAGGGGTCTCTCGGATCGACGGGGCGCCAGAGTAGTCGCTGCAATTCGCGAGCTCCCGCCCCGCGACATAGTCCGCAACTGCGACAACGTAAACCACGGACGCGCCGCCACCCGCCACCACGGTCCAGACGCGACCCTTTTCGCTCAAGATGGCCAACTTCAGCGAAGCACCCGTCGCGCCGTCCACGCCGCGGATTAGCGCCTCCGCGGCGTAGGCGGCGCGGCCGATCGGCGGGGGCCAGTCAACCTCAACCCCACTTCCGCGCCACCAAGAAATTGGCGGTCTCGTCAATCTTCGCGGCCATCTCCACAGGCGCCACCGCGTTGTCTCCCAGCATCACCACGGGATTGATGCCCAGGTAATTACGCGAAGTGTATATCCCGGTAAGAGTGCAGAGGCACAAAATGAAAGACGCCAATCCAGGTCGTTTTCCAGCTGGCACCTTCGACATTATACTGGCGTTGACCGTCTTGTCGTCGCTGCCCTCTCCGATCGGTATATGGAGATGCTCGGCCGTCGAATCCACGCCGCCGACGTCAACGCCGCCCTCTTGGCAGAGTAGGACATCGTCGCGGCACCGCAAAGCGCGGACACATCTGTAGAATTCCTGATCCTACTTCTGGAGCACCATTGGCTCGAGTACAAAGTGGCCCAGTTGACCAGTTACGGCGTCCACCTTTCGCTCGGCGCACATCCTCTCCATGGCCCACTTCTCAGCCCTGAGCGCGACGGGGCCAGCCCCGCCACGGCGATTGCTCAGTTGGCCAGGCACGGCCACGAGGCTGGAAGTCAGCAGCCAAGGGTTCTTCTCCACAGTCGACTCCCAAGTGACCCCGCTGGTCGAATCAAGCACTGAGAATGCGATGAGCACCCCCGCCATGCCCACTTGACCCCCAACAGCTCCAGCCAAAAGCAAGGGAACATAAAGTGACATAAACGTAAAAACTCGGAGGTCCGCGCGGATTTCTCGGATCGGCGCTGGACCCCCCTCCCTGGCGCGCGGAGCGCGCCAGGGGCGGCGCCGGAGGCGCCGCCGGGGGCCCCAGCGCCGATCCGAGAAATCCGCGCGGACCTCCGAGTTTTCATGTTTATGTCACTTCCTGTTCCCCTAGAAGTGGCCCCGGGCGAGGAGGGGGGGAGAGGAAAAGGAGGAGGCGAAGGAGGAGGAGCCAGCGCCCCAGGGGGCGGCCCGTCCCGCCTCCGGCCGCGCCCCCGACGCGCCCTCGGAGACACCCCGGGGGCCCCGGCGCCGCGGCGCAGCAGGTCGTAGCCGGCGGGGCGCGAACGAGACAGCGTCGTCGGGCGCCTCATCGAACACGGGGCTCGGAGAGTTGAAGGGGCCCTGGGACACACAGATAGATACACACAAATAGCAGGATCCCCCATATGTTCCCATACTTTCTGGGTTTTTGGCTTCCCCCCCACGTCCCATATGTTCCACTACTTTCCTGGGAATCGACGATTAATTGTGCCTGCGTGTTTTTTCCCCTCCTGAAGAGTCTGCGTCAATCTCCGCGCCCGCGGGGGCAGCAGAGGCGACGGCGGGGGGGGGCCCTGCCCGGTCGAGGGAGTCGGCGACCAAGGCGCCAAACGGGCCGGCGCTGCCGCGCACGATAAGGAAGGCGACGAGAGCAGAGGGGGGGCCTCGCAGCAGGAGCGAAGCTGTAGAAGGTCGCAGTGTCGACAGAAAGGGGCGCCAGGCACCACGCGCCCACGAAGGCGCACATCAAATTCTCCATCGCGCACACGCTGCAGAGCGCAGAATGCGTCGGCGGCGCCACACATAAAAAAGTGATCGACATGAACGGGTAGAGCCTTGCTGCATGAGCGAAGCAGCAGTAGGTCACAATATCGACAGAGAGAGGCGCCCAGCACCGCGCGGCCCAGACTCCTTAGCCCAGCGCAAGCAACGAAGGGATCCAACGCGCACCCTTTGTCATCAGCGTCTGCGGCATGAGGCCATTGTTCAGGAAGGAGCTGCGCAGCGCCTTCAGGTGGAGGCCGCCCAGCGCCGTCCGATGGAAGAAGACGTCTCGCGGGAGGCCAATGCGAATGGCGCGCGGGCTCAGCAGCGGCAGGACCTGCAGCGGCCCCGTCGACGCGCAGCTGAAGCCCAGCATGAGGCCGAGGCACAGAGAGTGTGCCAGCTGCCTAGTCCGGTGGAGGAGGAAGCCCAGGGAGAGCGGGTTCAGCAGCGGCAGGACCCGCAGCAGCGTCACCGACATGTGGCAGCAGCCCTGCAGGAGGTCGAAATACAGGGATCACGCCAGCAGCGTCGTCCGGCGGCGGCAGAAGCGCGGGGAGAGCGTGACCAGCAGCGGCAAGACCCACAGCAGCTCCATCAACATCAGAAAAACCCAGAAGTCCAGCAGGCGCATCTCCCTCATGCAGGCGAGGCGGACCATGGTGTCCAACGTCTTCGCGACCCTGAGGACCGTCACGCGCAGCGCCAGCTTCAGCAAGGAGCGCCAGGTGGAGCGGGTCGTCGTCATCTTCACCCCAGCTTGCCGTATCCCAAACGGGTTCAGCACCATCGGCGGCAGCAGCGCGACCGATACCGAGCTGCGTTGGTGGCCACCCTCAACGGCAGCAGCCAGGCGGGCACCGCGTGCGCCCAGCGGCGGGGCCGAAAATCCCCGCTCGTCTGAAGCTGCTGACGTGATCGTACAGTCGGGGCGTTGACCTAAGGAACCCTAAATAAGGAACGAGGCTCCATTTTTCCATAAGTAAAACTTCGATCTCCGATCGAAAACTTAAGGAAAGCCTGAGGCAAGCTGCGAAACACTTAAGGAACGCAGAGCCCCTCCCCAACGAAAAGGGTTTCTTCTTCAGGGCCCCGACTGTAGCAATGGGGAACGCAACCTTCAACGGCAAGGCCGTCGAGGAAGGCCGTCACGGACCGCGGCAGCTTGGAGAACTTCGCGCGCACTGGCGCCAGCGTCAGGCGCTGGATCGGCAGCTTGTCCAACCAGGGCGTGTACCTCTGGGGCAGTGCGGCTGGCAGCCCGAGGCAGCCAGAGTTCCAAGGTCATCAGCTGAGCGTCGGCACACGCAGGATGGAGGCGGCAGCAAAGGCGCGCGTGTTCAGCAGCAAGTGCCTCGTCAGTCAGCTCTATCAGGCGGGAGTTGTTGCAGCCATCGCCGACCGCACAGCGCGGATGGTAGCGGCATGCCGAACGGGTAGAGATCCGCGGGCCTCAGGGAGGACCTTCAGGGAGTAGAAATCGCACGCAGCACGAGCACGGTGCCAATGGTGTAGGGCAGGGTCAGCACCTGCAGCAGGTAGCTCGGCGCCAGCATCTTGAAAAGTCGCATTGTCATCCGCTGAGCCTGCGCCAGCAGCCTCGTCGCCAAAAAGACCCAGCCGAGGGCCAAGATACACAGCAAGTTCCCGAACACGATCTTCGAGATGCCGAGCTCCGTCTCAAAGTCTATGTCAGGCAAGAAAGTATCATTGTCCAGGGACACTTCGGGCGCCGTGGTGTCACCCATGGAAGAGTCAACGTGCAGGGTGAAGTCGGCGCAAGTGTAGCTCCTGGTGCAGTCCGTGGCGAAGTCCGTCTGCGTTTGCGGTCAGTGCACCTGCACCGAAGGGCCCTCGAACACAGGGGAGTAGACGACGGGATTCACCATGACGTGGCGAGGCGTGGTCAACGCGTTCAGGAGCTGAGCCAGGTACGGGATGAGGATGTCGGTCGAGCTCTGCACGTCCTCCGTCTGCGTGAAGGAGTCGATGGAGAGCGCCGTCTTGTCGGCGACAGGTGAACCAGCGGAAGACTGCGCCGCGGGGGGGGGGGGGCGAGCAAGGGGCCTGGCGGAGGAGAGCCCTCTCGGATGGGCGCCGTGGAATCGGCGAAGAGGCCATCGTCGCTGTCCTGAATATCATCCTAAGCCGTGCGCACGCTTTGCACACTCAGCGGACGCGAAGATGACTTGTGCTTGGCCGAGTTGGCCAACTTCAAGATCCGCGAGTCGGCACGCAACTTCTTGCGGTCGATGTGCCCAGAGCGGAATGGAGCGAGGGAGGCATCCCGAGCCGAGTGCGTAGGAACACTAATCAGAGCTTCCTGCTGACAGTGAAGCACATTGCCTGCAATCATCTTCTTCGCGTCTCACTTGAAAACCCTGTCCACCTGCACGAAGTCGGAGGCGACGCCCTCCGACGGGCGGAAGAAGCCGCGAGCGACGGCGCGCTCAAGACGCCGACCAGCTGCCAGAAGTGTCTGCTGCCGCCAGCCAGTGACCCTGCTGCTGCTCATGCTGAAGCGGGGTCACAGAACGCCCAGGACGACGATGAGCCGAAGACGGCGAGCGAAGCCATGCCACCTGAGAATCCCTGCGGACAGAAAAACGGCGCGGGGCGCGCGGGCACGGGTGCGACTTGAGCCACAACGGCTACGGCGGTCGAGGGGGAGAAGGAGGAGGAGCAGGAGGAGGAGGAGTAGGAGGAGCAGGAGCAGGAGCAGGAGCAAGAGGAGAAGAAGAAGGACCGAATCCGAGCCAGGGGAGAGAGGGGATGGGGTGAGGGCCCACGTGCTCCCAAACCCGTGTCGGCAAAAGGGGGCCAAAAGGGACTGGCTGACCCGTGTTAGCTCAGATCCCTGTCGGCGCTCGAGCCATACAAATCGGGCCTGTCGGCTGTTCGCAACGATTCCAGCCAGCATCACCCAAACGCTTTCGAAGAGACGCAGCTAGTGAAAACCAATCCAGTTCCCGCAAAAACCTCCGACGAACTCGCGAAAACCTTCGGAAACGCTCAAGCTGGCCCCAGGCAGCGCTGACCCCCGTCAGGGGCTCAATCTGACAATAGGTATGCGCGATAAGGATTCAAGTTCTGGGACGCCGGAGCGGAAGCCTTTTCGAGCGGCGCACGGTCAGCGAGAATGACGAAGGATAGACAGGCCTGAGCTGGATCGAATCGCACCCGAAACGGATCGTACCGAAGAATCTCGTCTGAATCGAACCGACATCGACTGGTTGGCCCTGGCCAGTGCCGATAGATTGAGCCCGCTCGAATCGAATCGGGATCGCGGTCCCAGCTGGCGGATCGAATCGCATCGACTCGGACCGTGGGCGGCTCTAAACGGACCAAGGAGGCGAGGATGCATGGGGTACCCTTGAAAAGCTACTTCGCCTCACTGTTCCGCTCGACGGACGCTTTGGTGGACGGGGCCGCCGCGCTGGGCGGGGCCCGGCCTGCGTACGTGCAGGAGCACTTGGTGTTCACCTGTGCGGCTCGCCCTTCTTCGGGCTGCTGCTCCGTCCTGTTGGTCCGTCCTTCTCCCGTCGCCCATTGGCAGTTCCTCGGCTTAGCCATGATACACCGGGGGAACTGTTCAATGGCGGCCCGCTCGCAGAATTGGTAGCTTGGTCAGTGATCTTCCTCCTCCTCCCCCTCCTCCTCCCCTCGTCATCATCATGATCATCATCATCATCATCATCAGCAGCAGCATCATCATCAGCATCATCAGCATCATCAGCAGCATCATCATCGTCAGCGTCATCGTCATCGTCATCATCATCATCATCATCATCATCATCACCATCATCATCATCGTCATCATCATCATCATCACCACCATCATCATCATCATCATCATCATCATCATCATCATCATCATCATAATCATCATCATCATCATCATCATCATCATCATCATCATCATCATCAGCAGCAGCAGCAGCAGCAGCAGCAGCAGCATCATCGTCACCATCACCGTCACCATCAGCATCAGCATCAGCATCAGCATCAGCAGCATCATCATCCTCCCCCCGCTTCGCGAGGACTCCAAGCGGCCCAAGACACGCCGTCCCTCGAGGGAGGCTCGTGGCCGTCTCGGCTCACATCGGCCTGGAGCCCCAGGGCACTTTCGGGTGCGCGGCGCGCGCGGCAGGTGGAGTCTGGAGGAGCTGCGGGCGGCTTCGGTGAGCGGCGCGGGATGGCGCGGGTGGCGCGTGGCCGCGCAGCTGCAAAACTGGGAGGCGAAGACTGACTGCTCCGAGGCTTCTGCCGCCTGGGGGGGGCAAGATCGGTCAGCATCGAATTGGGGAATCGGATCGAGTCGGAAAGTGCGCCAGATCGGGCCGCATCGGCACGGAGTCGAAATCGATTCGGATCGGCTGCCCCAGGATGCACAACAGCGCCGTGTACGACTCGGACCGCATCGGATCGCCCAGAAATCGAAATCGAATCGGATCGGACCCGCCGAAAACGAGAACGAATCGGATCGAGTGGACCATTCAATGGGCCCTGGGAGGGTGGGCCGTCTCTCTCTCTCTCTCTCTCACTCTGCTAAGACGGTGCGCCTTCGCGCTACAAGTGCGACTAGCTGATCGAAGTGGTGGAGGTCATCTGCGGAGACTTCGAACTGTCGGGCGGGGTCATGGGCCCTTGAGTGCTGACTCCCCCGAGGAAAGCAGGTGAGCGACGAGAGCGAGCTTCGCCGCACTGCTGCTTTGCATGACTACGCCCATGGGGAGTCGGTGTCTACCGTAGGCCCGCGCCAGCTCCACGACATGCAGAATGGACCGCGCCTTGAGTCGCACGCCTGGCGCCGAAACGGGCTCGCTGCCGAACTTGATCCTGGACGTGGTGAGCACGCTCCCCAGTCGTGGGCACCAGCAACAAGCATCGAGTCTCAACCGGATCGGATCGGAGCATGCATCGAGTCGGGCTGCACCGCCACGAAGCCGAAATCGGATCGGATCGGCCGCGCCAGGATGCACAGCAGCGCCACGAAGGCATCGGGAAGCTCATCGTCGTGAGACTGGAATCGAGGCAAATCGGGCCAGCCGGACTCGATACCGATCGGACCGAGATGGACCCTGCATTGGGCGGACTGCCTCCTGGACAGGGCGCTGCAGAGGCTGGTCGCGCTGGCACGGTTGAGCCTTGGACGCAGAAGGACATACTAGGACTGTCTGCTTCTGTTGGTGGCGCACGTCCGACCCGAACATGCAGTAGAGCATAGCTCATCGTTGCACAAGCGGCATGGTGAGAAAACGCCCGCCACGGTGCTTGTACTGAAAGGCTTGGAGCGTGCGCTTCGCCCCCAGTGGGCCGACACACACGTAGCATAGGTCTGTATGAGCCGTTCGCCGCTGTTCGGCTGGCGCACAAGAGAGCGCATTCACGGCGCCGCCCGGCGCAGAGGACGCCCCGGCAGATATCGCCCGTGCCAGAGGGGAAAACCAACGGTGACCATGACCGAAAATGAGCGCGGAAACGTCGGTGCAGTTCTTGGCCATCGTCCGTCCTGGTGAGCCCCAGTTCGTGGATCGTCCTCGCGAATCGGCGACGGCCAGCGCTGACCTCGAGCAATATCGGCGTCGACAAGATCCCGCGGCATCCGGGTCATGGTCGGCGTGTTTCTGCCCTCGACGGGCTCCCCGATTTCGACGGCCTGTCCGCGTGGGCGGCGAGGAATCTGGCCCGTCCGAGGCGGTGATGCATGCAGGTGCCCACCGCCAGGTGACACCCACGGACCCCAGACCCCGGGAGGCAGTGGATCAGCTTTGTTTGGCAACGAACGGGCGATGATGCCTGCGATGCCCGCGAGCTGTGTGTGTGTGTGTGTATCTCCATGGCGATCTCGCCACTCGGCGTGCCACGGAGGAGAGCCAGGCCAGCGATGAGCACCGGCGAGTCGGGGGTCGGATCGCGTCGCACCCCGGGAGGCAGTGGATGTGGACAGTGCGGAGAGGCCCACGTCCCGGAGGGCCAGAGGAGCAGGGCGCTGAAGGGGCCCCAGGACACACAAATAAATACACACAAATAAAAATATTCCCCATATTTTCCTATATTTTCTTGGTTTTTGTCTTCCTCCCCACTTTCCATGTTTTCCCATATTTTCTGGGGGATCGACGATTAATTGTGTCTGTGTGTTTTTCCCCCCTGAGACACCCGCATCCTGGAACGGTTGCCGCTCAAGGTCTGCGACCGAGTTCAAAGGCGTCTCCCAGTGCACCTTCTGCATGTGGCGATGCCGTGTCGTGTGCGGCCGGGAGCTCGGCGACTCAGACGGCAGCATCTGGTCTGTAGTCGTGTTGGCGGAGGCGGACAGCACGAAAATGTCCGTTGCACATGTGACGCTGGTCATAGAATCGCACACCCTGCTAGGACGGTTCCTCGCTCTGGTAGTCGGCATGGTGCTCAACGTCGTCTTCCCCACGCTTCGGTGTCAACTCATGGGAGCCTCCCATGCCATCTTGCTGGCTCTGGCGAATCGACGCTAACCGACGCTAATCAATGCTAATCGACGCTAGTTACTGGTATATCGGCGCTGCCTCATCGATTACCACACGCTGGCGCACGCTAATGCTCTACAAATCGAATAATACGAGGACATGCAAGGATCCCATGATTTGCCACCGAACCGCGGTGCTCCCACCTCAGCTTCATGGCACTGCGCTGATGAAGAAGTGCTTCGCAAAGGTCGATTCACAGAGCGCCACACGTCTCTCCTTGCCGACGTGGCCCTGGCTCATGCCCTGGCGTGCCAGTGTCCCGAAAATGCTCCTGGTCAGCACCTGCTGCTGCCCCAATCGCGCGCGCGCGCGTGCTGCAGGTCCACGGGCGCTAACGGTGTCAACGGGGCCCAGGGAGACACCCATAACTCCACAGAAATACCAGGATTCGTCAAAGCCCCCCACACCTCCTGGATTCCCGTATCACCCATCCATGACCCATATCTTCCAACATGTTCAAGGACATCCACTCATATTGATGTTTCTTTTGTTTTACAGTGCGACGCAAACCCCGCTCAGATGATGAGTCCTCTGGCCAGCCTGCGTCAGATCAGAGGGCAGTGCTCCCGAACGGCGCTGCGCCAGGAAAGCTGGCACGTCAACTGAAGCGAATCCACGCCTATTGATGTTGGTGTCCATGTTTCCCTCCTGAGATGCCAGGATTCGTCAAAGCTCCCCACACTCCCTGGATTCCGCATCACACATCCATGACCCATATCTTCCAACATGTTCAAGGACATCCACTCGTATTGATGTTTCTTTTGTTGTACAGCGCGACGCAAACCCCGCTCAGATGATGAATCCTCTGGCCAGCCTGCGTCAGATCAGAGGGCAGTGCTCCCGAACGGCGCTGCGCCAGGAAAGCTGGAACGTCAACTGAAGCGAATCAACGCCTATTGATGTTGGTGTCTATGTTTCCATCCTGAGATGCCAGGATTCGTCAAAGCTCCCCACACTCCCTGGATTCCGCATCACCCATCCATGACCCATCTCTTCCAACATGTTCAAGGACGTCCACGCATATTGATGTTTCTTTTGTTGTACAGCGCGACGCAAACCCCGCTCAGATGATGAATCCTCTGGCCAGCCTGCGTCAGATCACAGAGGGCAGTGCTCCCGAGCGACGCTGCGCCAGGAAAGCTGGACCGTCAACTGAAGCGAATCCACGCCTATTGATGTCCTCCTCCTCCTCCTCCTCATCATCATCATCATCATCATCCTCCTCCTCCTCCTCCTCCTCCTCCTCCTCCTCCTCCCCCTCCTCCTCCTCCTCCTCCTCGTCCTACCTCTGGCAGGTGTCTATGTTCCCCTCCTGAGATGCGTCCAGTTCCAGCCCGAGCCCCCCCGGCCACCGCAGCACGCGCCTCTCCGCGGAGCCGACGGGCGCGGAGCGCCCGGGCAGCAACCGCCGGGGCGCGGAAAGAGAGGCGAGCTGTGCGCCCTGCACCCGTCGGCCGTGAGAGAGGCGGGCAGAAGCATGGAGCAATGCTGACTACCTACCAAACCACCCCATCCCAACCCGAAGACCCGAATTTCGGGTTGGGGGGGGTACGGGCTCCATATGTGTTTTCTCAACGTTCCCCGATCCCCCCCAACTGGAAATGGAGGGCAAATCGGGGCCTTCGGGTTGGGTTGGGGTGGTTTGGTGGGCGGTGAAATGCGGGATGACGATTAATGAAAAAAAGGGAGAGAACGAGTGGAAAAATAGTTCCCTGCGATTTCTGCACAATTTCCTGACGGGGGGAGAACGATAAAGAAAAATAGTTTTCCAGCCCGCGGCCTGTTTTGTCTAATCGTCGTCCCGGGCGCCGCCGCGTGGACACGACCCCCGGTCATTTATTAATCGTCATCCTCCATTAGGAAGGCGTTGGAAGTAGATTGGGCTTCCGCCCACCCCCCCTGAGGAGGAGGGAAGGGGGAAAACAGACTCGATGCTCGCAGTCGGCAGGCGCCTGAGGCAGACCGGGATCTGGGAACCCACGGGCACAGGTGGGAAAGGTGGGGAACCGCCGCGGGGACGAGGCGCAGGCGACGGGGAGAGACCCAGCCCCCCCGACCTCGCGCCTCGCCGCCTCGCGCCCCGCGAGGCGTGACGCGCGACTGCCTTCGCGCATGGGCGCACCCGCGCGCCCTCCGTGGAGAGGGGCCGCCGCGCTGGCCCAGACCGCGGCGCGAGAGGCCCGGTGCACCGCCGCGCCCCCGCGGGTGACCGCGCCTCCGAGCCTGCGGCACGTCGTGCGGGGCACCGGCAGCCCCTCGGGCTCCGAGAGAGGAGCCGTGCGCAGCGGCCGTGGGGGCGGCCGCGGAGCCGCCGAGCACGCTGCCGTGCAGGGCGCCCGGAGGGGGCAGGAAAGAATGGTTGAAGGGAAACTGGGACACAGAAATAAATACACACAGGTAAAAGGGTCCCCCATATGTTCCCATATTTTTGGGGGGCTTCCGTCTTCCCCCCCACTTCCCATATTTCCCCACATTTTCTGGGGAATCGACGATTAATTGTGTCTGTGTGTTTTTTCCCCTCCTGAGTGGTGCGCACCCGGAGGACCGCGGCGACGGCTACGAGAGACGCCCTGCGGTGACACCGAGCGCCCGCCGGCCCCGAAAGACGACCTCACCTACCCTTGAGCTCGGCCGCGCCATCGCGGGGGGGGGGGGACTGCCCCGGCGGACGGGGGCGGGGGAACCGAAGTGGAATCGGCGATGCGTCGCCGGGTGGGCCCCCGATGGCGGAGCCGAACGCTCCTGGGCGGGGGGGGCGCCCCCATCGGCCAGAAGGGCGCGACTGGGGGGCGATGCGTCTCCCCTCCCGGCCGGTGCCCCAGAGCACCGAGGCATGGAGGACCAAACCTCGGCCGAGCGCACCACTTGCCCCTGGCAGGACCACGGATAAGCTGAGAGCCAGTCCCCCAGAGCACCGAGGGATGGAGCATAGAACATCGGCCGAGCGCGCCACTTGCCCCTGGCAGGAGCACCGATAGACCGAGAGCGAGCGGGACAGGCGACGGAACCCAAGCTCGACCCTCCCCCTCGCCATCCGTCGCCAAGACGAGAATTCAGCAGCCGATGGGTCCATCAAAAGCGCAAGACGGGTCACAGGGCGGGAGGGGCAACCAAGCAGAGGCGAGAGAGCCGATCGGGTTCAATATATCGACCGCACTGTTTTCGGAAGCACAGAGACCGATCGGATCGGTTCGCAAACACCAGAAGACCCCTTGCCTGCTCCTCTCCTCTTGCCTGAGGGGGAACGTCGGGGGCGGACTGACTGACAAGGGGGAAAACATCGATTTGGAATGGGCGGTATACATTACCGGCAGATCGGCGATCGGCCCCCGACGGCAGATCCGCACGTTCCTGGGCGAGGTGGGCACCAGAATTGGCGATCCGTGGACGAAGCAGGGCCGAGGCATCCCATCCCTGAGCCGATCCGCCCCTGGCGCTGCCCCTGGCTGCCTCGCACCCCGCCCCCTGCCTCCACGCCCCCCTGCGGCACCAAGCTCGCTCGCTGTCGCGCGCGCGCGCGCGCCGGCCCCTGGCGCTGGAGCCCCGACAGGCTGGCAGCTGGTTGCGATCGCGCCCCCCTCCCCCGCGCCAGTGGGAGCGAGGCGAGCGGAAAGAAGGATGACTCGGCCGCCGCGTGCGGGCCTCAGCCCTAGCCCAGGACGACGACGACATCATGACGCGATCGGCTCGGGATGCGCTTCTGGCGGCCCTCGTTCCTGGAGCCCGTGGGATCATGAGGCACGCACGATGGAAATGCTGCAACGTGTCGTGATCACCACTTCTGGCCCCCCTGATACCCGCCCGAACTCCTCCTCCTCCTCCTCCTCCTCCTCCTCCTCCTCCTCCTCCTCCTCCGCCTCCTCCTCCTCCTCCTCCTCCTCCTCCTCCTCCTCCTCCTCCTCCTCCTCCTCCTCCTCCTCCTCCTCCTCCTCCTCCTCCTCCTCCTCCTCCTCCTCCTCCTCCTCCTCCTCCTCCTCCTCCTCCTCACCCTCCTCCTCCTCCTCCTCCTCCTCCTCCTCCTCCTCCTCCTCCTCCTCCTCCTCCTCCTCCTCCTCTCTCCGCCCTCCTCCGCCTCCTCCTCCTCCTCCTCCTCCTCCTCCTCCTCCTCCCCTCCTCTCTCCTCCTCCTCTCCTCCTCCTCCTCCTCCTCCTCCTCCTCCTCCTCCTCCTCCTCCTCCTCCTCCTCCTCCTCCTCCTCCTCCTCCTCCTCCTCCTCCTCCTCCTCCTCCTCCTCCTCCTCCTCCTCCTCCTCCTCCTCCTCATCCTCCTCCTCCTCCTCCTCCTCCTCCTCCCCCTCCCCCTCCTCCTCTCCCAGGGCACTGGTGGGGGGCGCGGAACTTCACGGGCGGGCGCCAGGCGAGGTGAGCCACCACCGGTGAGCGCCCACCTGTCCCCCTCGACGGGCGGCGGGGGGAGGTGCTCGGACCTCGCCGCCGGATATGGCCCAGACATCCGACGCCGCGTCTCTGTCACGCCGTGGCTCCCCGAAAAGTCTGGGCCCCTTCCCCGGAAACGCTTCTAGTCCTGAGCCGTCTTTGTTGGCGAGGGCCCTCGGCGGCCAAAGCCAGGGCCCTGGGAGGCCGAAGCTCGCCAACAAGCTTCCGTTGCTCGACGGCGCGGGGACGGTCCGGGAGCGGAGGCGGCGGCAGCGGCGCCAGCACGTGCGGCGCTGGCAGCCGCGGCGGCCCCCCCCCACGCGCCGCCCGCCCGCCTTGGGCGAAGGGCCGCCAGCCGGCCCCTCCTCCAGCACCTTGTACATGAGCCTCGGGGGCTGGCGTCTCCGAGCCCCCCCCCCTCTCGGCCCGCCGCCCTCTCTGAGCCTCTCCGCCCCCCTGCCCTCCACCCCGGCTGTGACCCCGCCCTGCGCCTGAGGTTCCTCGCATTGGCCCGTGCTGCCACGCAAGCTCTTCGAGGTCAGGCGCTCTTGGAGGTAAGGCGCTATACGGAAGAGCGCGAGGGCCAAGTTCGTCGAGACGCAGACGTCGCCCCCGCGCCCCCCTTAGCTTGGTGGTGACTGGGGGGTCTGAACCAGATGGGGCCTCAGAAAATCAATCATGAGGGGGGGCGAAGCCAAGTCCGTTCAAAATCGGTCCCCGGACCCCTCCTGGGGTTCTTCTGGTGCAATTGTTCACCCCAGATCCCTTACGGCCCCGGGGCCCGAAAACGGCCCCTGGAAACCGAAAAGGCGCGAAACCTTCTCGAACCCAGGTCCTCGAAACTCTCCCCCCCTTTTCGTGGCCCGACCCAGTGCTGAGCCACCTCAAACCCCCAGCCCCCTCCAACCCTCACGCCCCCCCTGCACCACTGGCATCCACTGGCCTGCCGCATGGGCCTCTCCCCCGCCCGCCTCCCGCCCGGGGGTCCCCGCTCATCCCCGCTGGCCCTCTCCGCCTGCCGGCATGCGCCCTCCCCACGGCCCCCCGCCAGGGACCCCTGGAGGTCGAAGATTGTCAAAGACCTCCCCTCGAGATTTTTGGCGGCGCGGGGGCGTCAGGGATGGCACCCTCCCGTCCCCCCAGGCCTGCTCGCTGCCGCCTGCCCGCGCAGCACACACTGCGCCGGTCAGGAAAGGCGAAGGAAGGGCGAAGGCAAGGGATGAGAGGGGGGAGGAGGTAGAGGAGGAGCACAGCGTACCAACTGGGCTCGTCAGCAGACAGTGTCCTTCGCGTGGGCGGGACAGGCGGAGGGCCTCCTCCTGTACTGGTCGAGCCGCCAGAAGTCGAAGCAGCGCCGCAAAACGCGCGCAGACGGAAGGGAGAAGCGATAGCAGCGCGCAGAGGCAGCGGACCCCTCGAAAAAACGGACAAGGGAGCAAGAGAGAGATCAAGAGAGAGTCCGTCATGCACGGGTTGACCCTCCACACTGCTCGGAACACTCGTCCTCTGAGACCTGGCAACCTCCAGCAGAGGATACAAAGAGGGCGAGGCGGCAGAGGGCAGCAGCAGCGGAGGCTCCAAAGCGGCGGAAGGAGGAGGGGACGGGCAGCCAATCACTGTCTGGCAAGCAGGGCGAACCGAATCGGGTCCTGCGCCTGCCGAGACCTGAACCTCATTCGGGTCATGAGCCGGGAAGTGGTGGGGCGGAGTGGACAAGGGAGGGGAAGCGGCAGGCAGCAGCAGCTGGGCCAAGGGAGAATCAGACGAGTAGGGTCAGGCAGCGTCAGGGGGCAAAGCTTCACTCCAGGCGGCGCCACCAGAGTCTGACGAGACCCTGTCGATCGGGCTGCTTTCACGCTGGGCAAGCTGCACACGAGAATGGCAGGTGCTGCAACCAACAGTGGCGGGGGCAGTAGGGAAGAACGCGGGGACCTTCGCCGATCCAGAAGAGAGAGAGAGAGAGAGAGAGAGAGCGAGAGAGAGCGAGAGAGAGAGAGAGAAACAAAAAAAAAAAAAAAACGACTCGAATCCTCTCAAGGATCGCAATCTCAGTCGGGGTGCACCACTTGGCCCCAGGACAAAGCCACATGGGAGTGAGCATGTGCGCAGCGCTGACAACACGGAGCCAACAGAACGCCCCCGACGCCGTTCCCGGACCGGGGGAGACCCAAGGGGCCCCAGGGAAAAGCAGCGCGCAAAGCCGCTCAAAGAGATGGAAAGGCTGCGCCGTGGAGGCGGATGGAACCGGAGGAAATCAAAAGACCACGCGGGGACCGTGAGAAGCCCACGACGGCGACGAGAAGCCCAGACCAACGGGAGGCAGAGGACAGCGAGCTAGGGAAGGGAGACCCTTCGGATCGCAAGGAAATCGTCGGGGGTCGCCGGAGGCGCGCGGAAGGTCTCAGGGCCCGGCACTTCTCGCGTTTTCTGTACGTTCGTCTTCCCTTCCATCTCCCATATGTTCTGTCATTGTCAGGGAGATATTTCCCCTCCTGACTGTTCAGGGGCGTGCTTATGGCCCGCCGAGGCCGAGCATTGCAAAAACTCCCGTCGTGCTATTTTCTCACGACGCGGGGATATCCAGGTCCCCCTGCCGCCCTCCCCCCGGCAGCCCTTCGGCCCCCGCCTCCCTCTCGCCCCATTCGGCCTCGCCCCCCCTCCCCCCGATGGCTCCCAGGGCCGCGTTCCCTGGGCACCCCGCTCGCAAATTAGACGGAGCCCAAGGCTGGGAAGACGGGGAGACGATAGCGCAAGCTAGCACCAGCGGAAGGCCTTGACCTGATCCTCCCCCTGCACCTCCTCTTCATCATCCTCAACCACCACCTCCTCACCATAATTAGCATCCCCACCGTTAGCCTCCTCCTCCTCCTCCATCTCTTCCTGCTCTTCCGCCTCCACCTCCTCACATCACCACCATCACCATCCTCCACCTCCTCCTCCTCCTTCTCCTCCTCCTCCTCCTCCTCCTCCTCCTGCTCCTCCTCATCCTCCGCCTCCTCCTCCTCATCATAGCATCATCGTCAGCATCACATCATCATCATCATCATCATCATCATCATCATCATCATCCTCATCATCATCATCATCATCATCATCATCATCATCATCATCATCATCATCATCATCATCATCATCATCATCATCATCATCATCAATCATCATCATCAGTATCATCATCCTCATCATCATCATCATCATCATCATCATCATCATCATCATCATCATCGTCAGCAGCAGCAGCAGAAGTAGCAGCAACCTCATCATCAGCAGCAGCATCACCATCATCATCATCATCATCATCATCATCATCATCATCATCAGCATCATCATCATCATCATCATCATCATCATCATCATCATCATCCGATCATCAGCATCAGCATCATCATCATCATCAGCATAATGGTCATCAGCATCACCATCACCATCACCATCATCAGCAGCAGCATCATAGTCATAGTCATGATCATCATCATCATCATCATCATCATCATCATCATCATCATCATCATCAGCAGCATCATCATACAGTGCGGGCGCGGCCGCAAGAAACCCTCGCAAGAAACTCAACCCTGAGAACCCGCGCGCGAGGTGCACCTGAAGGGAAACCTGGAGCACCCTGAACGCAGCAGCTCCCTCAACGGCTGCGGGAAGTCACCGCGCAGCGCGAGGAGCGAAGAAACCCAGGATACCCTGACGAAAAACATATAGTTTCTTGATGCATGCCCCCACTGTAAGCATCGTCATCGTCATTATCATCATCATCACCATCATCATCACCATCATCATCATCATCATCATCATCAGAATCGTCAACATCAGCACCAACATCATCATCATCATCATCATCATCATCATCGTCATCGTCATCATCATCATCATCATCATCATCATCAAAATCGGCATCAGCCTCGCCGTCGTCGTCAAAATCATCATCATCATCATCATCATCAGCAGCAGCAGCATTAGCATCACCATCAGCATCACCATCATCGTCATCGTCATCGTCACCACAACCACCATCATCATCACAAGCCTAATCAGCATCACCATCATTACCATCATCAGCATCACCATCATCATCATCATCAGCATCATCATCATCATCATCGTCAGCAGCAGCAGCATCACAACCACCAGCATCACCATCATCATCATCACAACCACCACCATCATCAACAACATCAGCAGCCTCATCATTATCAGCCTCATCAGCATCAGCGTCATCAGCATCAGCATCATCGTCACAACTGCTACCATCATCAAATTATCAGCGGCAACACCAGCATCATGATCATCAGCAGCAGCATCATCTCAATCAGCATCATCAGCATCATCATCATCATCGTCATCGTCATCATCGGCATAATCGCCATCATCATAATCATCACCATGATTACCATCATGATCGCCATCATCATCATCATCATCATCAGCAGCAGCAGCAGCAGCTGCAACATCATCATCATCCTCATCATCATCAGCAGCAGCATCATCATCATTATCATCAGCATCATCATGATCAGCATCCTCATCATCCGTATAAGCATAATCAGCATCAGCATCAGCATTCGCTTCGCAGCATCATCATCATCAGCAGCATCATCATCACCATCATCAGCATCATCATCAGCAGCATCGGCATTTTCAGCATCGCCACCACCGTCATCAACATCAGCATCAGCACCATCACCATCATCGTCGTCATCATCATGATCATCATCGTCATCATCAACAGCATCATCACCGTGAACATCCTACATCAAAACCGCCTCCCCACTGTGCACCACCACCACACCGTTATCATCCTCGTCGTCACCATCCTCCGCAGCCACTACAACCGTCTCACAAGCTTTTATCTTCATCGTAAACCTCCCCCACCGCCACCAAATCCCCTTCATCAGTATCACCCTCATCGTGAACATCCTCCACCACCAAAGTCGCCCTTTCGTCATCCTCATCGTGAACCTCCTCCTGTCTCACCCTCCCTTTCCCGTCGGGGGTGGACACAACCCCCTTTAGCAAGACACCCTGTTGCGAAAACGGCCCAGGATCGGACCCACAGGGCGCAGGCCTGCCAAAACGGCGGCCGCAGCACCCTCTTGAAAAACCCGAAACTGGGCAATTCGCTCATCGACTTGGCAGGGTGGGGTTTCTGTCAACCTCCCCGTGCATTCCTCCTCGTGCCAATCAGCCCCCGGAGCCCCGTGACCACGCCGACCACGCCAAGAGAGGTGGGCGCGTTCCGCTGCGAAAGCGCGCAGGGCGCACGAAGTTCCCGAGGGATGCTTGCTGACAGGGGGCCCTCGACGGCGCACGAGCCCGAACGGCACACGTCAGGCGAGGACTCCAGCCCCCCCTGGGAAGTCGAGGAGCTCGCTGGCGGTTCCCGCTGGCAACCAGGCTCGAACTTCCCCCCATCCCTCACATCCTAAGGTTGACAAGACACAGGCGATGACAGCTGTGAGGATGTGCCCTCAGAAGCTGACTGCGTCCTCAAGATCGGCACCAAGATGTGGCGATGCAGAATGACGAAAGGCAGTGAGAGCAGGAGGGACCAGCGGCGGCAGCACGAGTGAGCTATAAGACAGGCCCCCCGCGATTGGTGCGGCCAGCCATGGAACCCCGACGGCAGCTTCACCACGCCTGGCTCCCCAGCCTTCTGCTCCAACCACACCTGGTCCTGCTGGGGTGGTGGTCTGCAGATGCTGGAAGGGGTGGACGAAAGGCTGACGATGGAGGCAATATCAATCAGCATCGAATGTGGAAATCGCATCTAATCGGAACGTGCGTCAGACCAGGTCCCATCGGCACACGGTCGGAATCTGACCCGATCGACCTCCCCCACGAAGGCCAACTACCGTTGCCTCAATTCGCCCTCCTCTGACCTAGTCACCTCTGACCAGCACGCAGAACCAGCACGCAAAACATATCAACCTATTGTTTCCCGCTAGCAAAGTTGCATGGCCCCTTGGCCAGCTGCGCGGCCCCCCTTGCGCGAAGGCTGCCTGGCGCACACAGGCACCATTCGAACTCGTCGCGAATTCACGGTGCCACTGCTTGCCCCTCATCAGAAGCAAACCAATCGCCACGCAGAAACTGGCAGTGGGGCGTCAGCACTGCCGACCGCGTCGCGAGCAAGCTGCGCCACAGAAACTGCACCAGTCCTTCACATGCTTTCCGAGCGCGCGCTCGGGTCTGCGGAGGGGAGGGGGGTGGAGGGGAGGGGGGCGGAGGAGGGGAAGGAGGAACGGATAGGAAACGAACGCCGAACACATCCGAAGTTGCGCGCCCAAGGTCACCCAGGGAGGGCGCCCAGCTTCCCCGGGTGAGGCTCGAGAAAACCCAAGGCGGCGACAAGAGGTCCACCAAGTTTCTGACCTCATGGTTGTCGGCGCTCCTGCTTCGCTACGCAGTCGACGCATGGCCACGGGAACGCCGACGCGGCGAAGGGGAAAAGAGGAGGACACTGATGAATCACGACGAGCAGCGTGAGGCAGTGTGTGAGCCCCGTCTCGCCTCACCTTCATTATATAGCATCGTGGCCAGCATCGGCGTGGACCAGCATGGATTGCTCCGACGCGGCACTCGCGGCATCCCGCCCACGCGAATGCGCTTGCCGCCCCCCGTCGGTGGATCTCTCGCGCGAGCCGTGCGCCGCCCCCCACAAGGCCCCGCGCAGTGCCGAAGCGACCAGCGTGAGCACCGCGCGTTTTGCCGCTGGCGGGGCGACGCAACGCGTGGCGGTGGCTGGCCTTCGGCTCGATGGCTTTGCATCGTACAGTCATCGGCCTTGACCTAAGGAACGATCAATAAGGAACGAAGCCCCTTTTCTATCCCAAGGAATAACGCATAAGGAGCGATAAATAACAGCTAGCGCATAAGGAACTGTAAATAACGCATGTAAACCCAAGGAACGACCGAGCCCCTTTTGAAAAGTAAGTGTTCCTTATGGAAGCCGCTCACTGTAGTGGGTCGCAAATTGAACGCGACACGAAGAGCGCCCTTAGCCCGGTGAGCAGAGCGTGCCGACCCCAGCCGCCGACCATCGAATATCAGACAGCACAACCCAAAGATGAAGCATTGGCGATTTCCATGTCTGCCGTCGGTCCGAACTGAGATTAAAAAGCCTCTTAGATGGGGTCCGAGTGGGTGGGGTCGGAAGATCGCGCCGCATCGCCAATGCATCGCCGATGCATCGCCGATGCATCGCCGATGCATCGCCAACGTCAGCGATGTATCAGCGACGTCGGCGTGGAGCAAAGCGGGCTCCACATCGAGCCGCATCGCCGATACATCAGCGATGCGGAGCGATCCTTCAACCACATCTACGATCAGGAACCTTTGGAGACAAGCTGATTCCTCCGATGGCGAATCTTCCGTTCCGACTCATCCGATCCGCGGTCCAGGAGAATCGCGACCGCACGAATTAGACCTGATGAATCAGTCACCAGATGTGAGCGAGCAACGACATATGTACATGTACGCCCTCCGCGATCTTGAGTGCACGAACGTCCTCGTTCAAACGCCCTCCAGGGGAAGCTAACCGCGTACGTGTACATATGTTGCTGGCCTCTGAAGATGGGTTAGCCCCGACGAGTTGTTCACCAGACGAGCTTGCACGGATGAATCAGTCACCAGATCTCGAGCCACAAGGCACCAAATGGATTGGGCACCGGGTGACTAAGGCACCCGATGAGTTAGGCACCGGATGAGTTAGGCACCCGATGAATGAGGCACCGGATGAGCTAGGCACCGGAGAAACTAGGCACTGGATGAGTTCGGCACTGGATGAGTTTGGCACCGTGTGAACGTGGTGTACCGGGTGAGCTGCAAGCACTGGGTGAGTTAGAGGCACGGGCTGAGTTCAGGCCACCAGGTGGGTTGGGCACAGCAAGCGAGTTGCCCCAGGTGAGTTAGGCACCGCAAGTGCGTTACGTACTGGGGTGAGTTTCGGCATTGAATGAACGGCAACGGGCGGGTGCGGCAACGGGTGAGTTATGGGGGGCCGACTGAGTCCAGATCGGGGTCGCCGGATGACCATGTGTTTGACTACACAACGTTTTCTAATCAAGCAAATTTTCAGGTCTTGTGCTGGCACGGCCAGTCTTGCGCATTTCTTGGTCTGCCTTGCGAAATTTTGCCCGTTTGGCTCTGTGCTAGTGTTCGATTGGGGAAGGTCAGGCCCTTGAAAATTCGATTGGCAGCAAAACGCATTGAGGTAAAGCATATTTTGAGGTCGTCTTCGGGTCGTCTTCGAATCGTCGTCGTCGTCATTGTCGTCGTCGTCAGGCAGCGCATAAATCAGGCCGAATGAGTTATGTAGCCATCGGATGAGTTAGGAGCGGATGGTTTAGGAATCGGATGAGTTAGGCCAGATGAGTCGGACCCGATGAGTTAAACACCAGATGAATCAGCCCCGCCTCCTTTGCTTGGCGTGTCGCTGCGGCGGCCCCGGCGACACGCTACACCTTGCAGGCGGATGGCGTGTCGCTCCGCTCCGCGGGGCGGGAGGCTGGGACAAGCTCAGCACGTGGACGCCTGGGGACCGAGAAGTGGATAGCGTGTCGAGCCGAGGCGCGGTGGGACGGAAGCGGCGGTGCGACACGCTGACCGCGATAGGTATTCAAGAACCCCCCCAATAATGGGAACCTATTTTAGGGCGCGGGCTTATTGACGGACTGGGACCCCAACAATATTGGGAAAGTGATTATTCCCCCGCGGCGGCCACCGCTCAGGCCTCCTGACGTGGGAGGGCCTTAACATTGAAGACCTCCTGCGGTCACCCAAAAGATCCCGACTGTGCTCGGACCCCATCTGGGAGCCTAGACATCCGGCCGCTCCAATCTTTCAGTCCGTGGGCCCAGGAGGTCTGCACCACCTCCCTGGGGCCAGATCCTCATCCCGAGTCCCCAACGCAGAAGGAGTCTGGGGAGGCCGCCGCCGCCGCCGCGGCCGCGGCCCGCGCGGCGCAACGCCGCGCGTCCTTCGCGCTCGTCGCCCGCGCGGCGGAGGACGCCAGCAGCACGGCGCCGGCGCCGGCCGCCGCCGCCGCGCGCCGCCCGCAGGGCGCCGCCGCGCCCGCGCCGCCGCTGGCGCCTCGCTGGCAGGCCGCCGGAGTGACGACGGCGGGCGAGGGGCGGTGGGCGTCCACAGGGTTGTGGGTGCCACGACAGTGGACACCCTGAGAGTCCTACCAGTGAATTGAAGATGTGTTTGAAATGTCGGGAACATGTCCTAAGCATGTTTGACATGTCTTTTTAAACATGTTAAACACATTTCTAGACATCTGGAAAATATTTTGGAAACATGCTTCCTCGCCATTGATCGTCCTCCACAACCATCGAGGCCTCCCAGACGGGTCCGAATAGATGGGGCCCCAGGGTCCCGCCGCATCGCTGATACATCGCAGACACATCGGCGATGCATCGGCGATGCATCGGCGTGGAGAACATCGGGCCCAGCAACGAGTCGCATCGCCGATGCATCGACGATGCCGAGCAATCCTCCGACCTCATCTACTCCGACCCCATCTGGGAGGCCCAGGGTCCGAGAGGGGGGGTCCAAGAAGGGGGTTCGCGAATCATGGGCGATGGCATGCGCGCGGCCCAGGGGTGGACCAGGGAACGCCTTGAAAGAAGGAGGGGCCATGAGATCCGGGGAGATCTCATGGCCCCGGCCACGATATCAACCCACCCTGGTGATCACCCCCCTCTTGGACGCCCCCGATATGGGCGGTGGGCGATGCACCGAGGCGGCGCGGACGGCGGCAGCGGCGGCGGACGGCGACGACGGACGGCGGCGGCGGACGGTGGCTGCGGCGGCGGCGGCGGCGGCGGCGGTGGCGGCCGACGACGGCGGAGGCGACGCCGTCGCGCTTCGCCTGGCTTCGGGCCCAAGGGACCCTCACAGAGGGATCCGGCTCGAAAAGTGCAGCAGAAAGATGGGTCTGGGGCTCCGGACGTGATGGTTCACGATGCTGCGACTTTTGTCGCCGCGTCGGGTGTCACGGGAGGCGGCTGGCCGCGGCGGCGGCAGCGACGGACGGCGGCGACGACGGCAACGGCGACGACGGCGGCGCGACGGACGGCAGCGGCGGCGACGGACGATATCGGAATGCACCCTCCGCCTGGGAAGTTCTCGCTGGGCCTGGACACCCAACGTCTCGAAACAACAACAGAAATCGGGCGAGCTCTTGTCGCGTCGTCTTTTGGCGGCGCACACAAGGGGTAGGGGGAGGGAGGAAGGCTTCTCAGAAGGAGGCTGCTTCTACGAAGCCTTCCCCCCTCCCCCCACCCTCCTCTGCGCGTGGCTGAGTCTTGGACATCCTGAGGTCCGTTGTCGGGCTCGGGGGCCGTCAGAACAACGGATCGGGGTGAAAAGCGGTCCTTTCCAAATGTGTCGGGGACCCCGTGTTGGGAAATACAATCAACCCGTATAATAATGACGCACAATAAGGATGCAAGGGCCTTGGAAGGCCATGTCGAGACTTTGCGAGCGGGGTGCGGCCAGCGAAAGCGGCCAAGGATGGGCCGAAGGGGAAGGATGCAAAGATAACCTTGCAAAGTTGCTCATCCTTACTATGCGGGTTGACTGTATCACAGCGTCGCATGTCTAAAGGCCCTCGTCGGTTTTGGAAGACCTTCGGGAGCTTGGGGCGTTCTCTGGGCCTCCGAAGGCCTCCAGAAGCCTCCCTGGTGTGGTCAGGGCCCGGGTCTGCAGCAAAACGTACCTCCTGCGCCGCCGCCTCCTGGTGCTCCTCTTCCTCCTCCTCCACCTCCTCCTCCTACCCCTGTTCGCCTCAGACTTTCTCACCATCTGTGGCCCTGAAACTTACAATTTGCAAGAGCTTTACGGATGCAGGGCGGGCCGTTCAAAATGTGGCTCTCGCCTTTGAGCTGCGCATATTCGCCTTCAACGTTTGCGAGAAATGTACGGAAGGAGGGCGGGTGGTTTTCAAAATATGGCTCTCGCCTTAGCTCCGCCCACAACTGGTCGTACAAATTCGCAAGAGCTTCACGCATGGAGGGCAGGTAGCTTTCAAAATGTGGCTCTCGCCTCAGCGCCGCGCACATTCGTCTTGAAAATGTGCAAGAGCTTCGCGGATGGAGGGCGGGTGGCTTGCCAAATGTGGCTCTCGCATTGGCGCCGCGCATGTTCGTCGCACAAGTTTGCGAGGGCTTCGCGGATGCAGGGCGGCTCCCGTTCAAAATGTGCCCCTCTCCTTAGCTCCGAGCACATCGGTCTCACCTGTTTGCAGTGGCTTCACGGGTGGAAGTTGGCTGCTTTTCGAAATGTGGCTCTCGCCGTGGCGCCGCCCACGTCTGTCTTAAAAGTCCACGACCGAGTGAAACATTCTTCTGGCTGACGCCCCAGGAGTGATGTTCTCGGCGCGATTTAGGACCGTCAGGGTGCAACAATGATGCAGATTGGCGGTGTTGAAGTCCCAGGCATTGTTTTCTGGCAGGATTCTGGATCGTGGGGACGCAGCAGTAACGTTGCTTCGCGGCGTTGAAGTGCTGAAGTGCCAGGAACGGCGGTCTGGCACGGTTGAGGATTCTCAAAGGGTTATCTTCCAACGGGTCACTTCCCGCAGTGAAACTTTGTAGGGACTTACGCAGAGGGAACTTGATGGGAGGGTTTATTGCAACGTCGTTGATGCGTCTTGAGTGTACAGTGGTCCTTCTCCTCCTCATCACCCTCATTGCTCTCATGATGATGCACCTCCTGATTACTCTCTTCCTCCTTCTCCACCTCCGTCGCCTCCTGTGCGTCTTCAGCCTCCTCCGCCCGCATGCTCCGCCTTCCTGCTCATTCTCACTGCTCCTTCTCGTCGTCCTCCTGACAAAGTTGATGGCTGTATTTAGGACGAGCGTGCGCGGCGCCAATGCGCGAGGCCCCTTGTGAAAGCCGTCCGTGCTCCAAGCCGTGCAGCTGCTGTAAAGTGCTACGGCGAGCGCGCGCGGAGCCAAAGCGAGACCCCCGTGCTGCAAAAATGACCCGTGCTCCCTCCGTAGACCTGCTGGACAGTTCGAGCCTCGAGATCACAGAGTGTGCGGAAGTCGCCGGCGAAACGTCTGGCCCGCCCTGACGACACGCCTGGTGGCCGGACGAGGAAGAGTCATATGGAACAGGATTCAAAATGGAGGAGGTAGAAGAGCATCAGAGCTAGAGAAAGCCCAAGATGCGCCATCGACGCTGCAATACACCCTCCTGCCCCGAGCCCCCTGCTCACAAGTCCTACGAGCACTTTTTTCACTGCGCAACGCGCCCTAGTAGAAGCGCCCCCCTTCAAAGGCGCGCAGGGAAAGGATGAGGAGGAGGCGGAGGAGGAGGACGACGAGGACGCCATCAACTACAGAAGGACCGATCCCTTGACGCCCAGGAGGCCCTCGATCCTCTATCTTCCCCTAACGCTGCCCCACGCTTTCTGGTCATAACTCGGCTCTCTGGCGACCGTTCGGCACGATCCGGGCACGCCGGGAACGCCCTCGGCGAGGCGCAGCCGCTGGGCAGCTGGAAAACGGCTGGGAACCGACGAGAACGCCCTCCTCCTCCTCCTCCTCCTCCTCCTCCTCCTCCTCCTCCTCCTCCTCCTCCTCCTCCGAACACTTGGAGCCTCGAACCCCTTCCCCCCCCCAACAAAAAAAAAAAAAACAACAACAAAAAAAAAAAAAAAACGGGCGCTGCCGCGTTAGAAAGCAACTCAGGGAAGCCTTTTGTGGTTCCCATGGCGCGCGCCCAACAGCGCGCCCAGTGGCCAGCAAAGCGGACAGAATGCATCTCTCTCACACATGGCGCTATTGTGCGCTATTTGTCGCTATTGGGCGCTGTTCGAGCGCTACTTGAGCAACACTGGGCGCTCTCAGGCGCTACTTGGCGCTATTGAGCGCTATTGAACGCTATTCGCCGATGTACACTCAACCCAAGACGAGTGGAAGCTTCCGTGATTCCCAATCTTATGCCGCGAAAACCTTGAGCCTCGAACCCGAAAACTCTCAGCCTCGAAAACCTTGAGCATGAACCTGGAAAATTTGAGCCTCGAGCCCGAAAAGTGGGAGCAAAACGCCCGAAAATCTTGCTCCGCGAACCCGAGAAAAACCTCACCCAGCGGGCGTTGCCGTGCCCTGCCCGCAGCAGCGACGGCGGCGACGGCCACCGCCCCGAAGGCGCGGCGGCAGCGACGACGATGCCGACATGGCCCTAGGGGGCAACGAAGAGACCCCCGAAAGGCTCCCAGAAGGTCCCCAAGAGGCCTCATCCTCCTCCTCCTCCTCCTCCTCCTCCTCCTCCTCCTCCCCTCCTCCTCCTCCTCCTCCTCCTCCTCTCCTCCCTCCTCCTCCTCCTCCTCTCTCGCTTTCCTCCTCCTCCTCCTCCTCCTCCCTCCTCCTCTCCTCCTCCCTCCTCCTCTTTCCTCCTCCTCCTCCTCCTCCTTCCTCCTCCTCCTCCTCCTCCTCCTCCTCCTCCTCCCTCGCTCTCCTCCTCCTCCTCCTCCTCCTCCCTCCTCCTCCCTCCTCCTCCTCCTCTCCTCTCTCCTCCCCCCTCCTCTCCTCCCTCCTCCTCCTCCTCCTCCTCCTCCTCCTCCCTCCTCCTCCTCCCCTCCTCTCTCCTCCTCCTCCTCCTCCTCCTCCTCCTCTCCTCCCTCCTCCTCCTCCTCCTCCTCCTCCTCTCCCCTTTCCTCCTTCCTCCTCCTCCTCCTCCTCCTCCTCCTCCTCCTCCTCCTCCTCCTCCTGAAGCCGCTGCTGCGGGGCGGCCCCTCGGCGGGCGGCGGGATTCGGCCCGCCTGGCAGGAACGCCGGCCCCGCCGCGAGCGCAGCCGCGGCGGCCAGGCAGCGCAGTAGGCCCCTCGCGGCGCGCGGCTGCCTGGGGCCGCCCCCTCCCGCGCGCGGCCCCACAGGGCAAGAGCAGCAGGGCTCGAGCTAAGCAGTGCTGTCCGTGTTCGTTTTCTCGTCGTTCTGCCTCGCTCTGGCACCGTTCCGCCGTTGCCGCAGAGCGGAGCCAGAACGAGACCGATCTACGAAGTCACCGAGGCACCTTTAGCTCGAGCCCTGGAAAGCAGGAGAGTCCATTATCCAATAGATGAATCGGATCGGCGATCGAAATGATTCGAGCCAGCGGTAATGGACGGCCAGGTCGGGAAGGGTCGAATCTGCAGAAATCGACGGGCCAGGAAGACCTCCCTTGAGAAATCGAAATCCCAATCGGAAACTGAAGTCGATTCTGGTCGGAAGCGGAACCGATCGAAGTCGAATCGAATCGAGTCGGAGGAGCCGGGGCCGCCCCTCCCGCGCGCGGACCCCAACGGGCCCAGGGAGGGGGGGGGATGGCGCGATTTCGTGGGTTCGGATGTTCTGGCTAGGTGGGCCCTCCCCTGTAAGTGGACCCTCGCGCCGCGGATGAGCAACTCCACCCAGCTCGGGTGGAAGTGCCCGCGGGCAGCTCAACCCAGTTTACCCGTCGGTCGGAAGTGAGCGGCATACACATGAAACAGGAAGGCGTGGAAAACAGAGTGGATTTCCGCCCGCCCCCTGACGAGGAGGGAAGGCATCCGGGAGTCCAGGCATGCCTGCTTTCAACGGCCGGCGTTCCGGGGGAGTGGCCTGGGCCTGGCAACCCCTCCTAACATAGGGCAGGGCTGCCCGCGGCGCGCGGCGGCCAGGGGCCGCCCCCTCCCACGCGCCGCCCCCAAGGGCAGGTCACGAGCGGCGCACATATCCACATCCGCGCCGCGCCTTGGGCCGCCGTGGAGCATCGGGCGCCCGAAGAGGCGAGGACGTCAAAGAGGGAGAACGTGAGGTAAATCAGCGACTCTGGGCTCTCGGCGCCCTCTGGGGACGCCTCTTGGGGCTCTCTTGGGCCGTCTTGGTATAGAGGAACCCAAAACGGCATAAGCATAAACTTTCGACGGTCCGCGCGGATACGCGGTCGCACGGATACGCGCCGCGCGGGGCATCCGCGGACACGCCGTGTATCCGCGGGATCGCGGCCAAGGGGCCCAGCCCGCGAGGCCACGGATACGCTTACATTTTTTTCGCGCACCAGCAGGGGGCGATGACTCGATCTCGTGCAGATACCGAGGTCCCTCGGATCGGGGCGTTGCCACTTCTTCACACCAGGCGTTGTCACCCAGGGCTGGGCCCCGGGACCATCACAGGTCGATCCAGGCTCGAAACATGAGGCAGAAAGACGGGGTCTAGCATGTTTCGTGATGCTGCATTTCCCCAGCCATCCTGTGGTGTTGAGTCCTCGATTTGAATCCGCAGCGCCCCGCATCCCCTTCCTTTCTTCCTCCTTCCCCGTCTCTCCCTTCTCCTCCTCCTCCTCCTCCTCCTCCTCCTCCTCCTCCTCCTCCTCCTCCTCCTCCTCCTCCTCGTCGTCATAATCAGCAGCAGCACCATCATCATCATCATCATCATCATCATCATCATCATCATCATCATCATCATCATCATCATCATCATCATCATCATCATCAGCGTCAGCATCAGCATCAGCATCAACAGCACCAGCAGTATCAACAGCGATGTTATCAGCATCGTCATTATCAGCATCAGCATCATCATCATCATCATCATCATCATCATCATCATCACCAGCATCATCATCCTCGTCATCGTCATCATCAGCATCATCATCATCATCATCATCATCATCAGCATCTTCATCATCCTCATCATCATCATCATCATCATCATCATCATCTGCTGCTGCACCATCATCAGCAGCACAACCACCACCACCACCACTACCACCATCGTCACTGTCATCGTCCACCTCCTCATCACCATCCTCATCCTGATCATCAGAATCATCATCATCATCACCATCATCATCATCATCAGCCGCATCAGCATCAGCATCAGCATCAGCATCATCATGAACATCATCATCATCACCATCACCATCACCATCATCATCGTCATTGTCATCATCATCATCAATATCATCAGCAGCAGCATCACCGTCATCAGTTTCATCATCATCGGCATCAACATCATCATTCGTATTACCATCACCATCATCACAATCAGCATCATCAGCATCATCAGCAGCAGCATCAGCAGCAGCATCAGCATCAGCATCAGCATCAACAGCGCCAGCAGCATCAACATCTCCATCATCAGCATATCCATCATCATCCTCATTATATTCATCATCATCAGCAGCATCGTCATCTTCGTCGTCATCAGCATCAGCAACTTCATTCGCGTTACCGCCACCATCATCATCAGTATGATCATCATCAGCAGCAGCAGCAGCAGCAGCATCACCATCATCATCAGCATCATCAGCATCATCAACATCATCGTCATCATCATCACCATCAGCATCATCATCCGCAACAACAGCAGCAGTAGCATCGTCATCATCATCATCATCAGCAGCAGCAGCATCAGCAGCAGCATAAACATATCATATATATATATATATATATCAGCATCCGCAGCATCATCCTTGACACCATCATCATCATGATCGGCATCAACATCAGCACGATCAGCAGCATCATTGACATTTCGGCACATCCCTCACACGGTTCGTGGCCCCATAGGAAGTTCTACCGAAGACCCCAGTGAGAGGGTTCGCATGGCGCCACCACACTAATTCCGGCACATCCCTCACACGTTTCGTGGGCCCCACAGGGAGCTCCACCGAAGGCCCCAGAGGGAGGATTTGCGACGCGAAGCCACACCCATTTCGGCAAGTCCCTCACACCTTCCGCGGCCCCACAGGGAGCCCCATCCAAGGTCCCAGTGGGAGGGTTCGCATGGCGCCACCGGCCCCATTTCGGCACACCCCTCAGTCAGACGTTTCGTGGCCCCTTGAGGAGATCCACCGCAGGTCCCAGTGAGAGGGTTCGCATGGCACTACCGCGCCCGTTTCGGCAGACCCCTCACATGTTCCGTGACCCCATGAGGAGCTCCACCGAAGGCCCCAGGGAGGGGGTTCACATGGCGCCGCCGCGCCCATTCCGGCACACCCGCCTCACGCTTCGTCGCCCCATGGGGAGCTCCACCGAAAGCTCCAGTAGGAGGGCGCGCATCGCGCCACCGCACCCATTTCGGCACACACCTCACACGGTTCGTGGCCGCACAGGGAGCTCCACCGAAGGTCCCGGTGGGAGGGTTCGCATGGCGTCGCGCCACCGCACCCATTTCGGCACACCCCTCACGCGCTTCGTGGGCCCCACAGGGAGGATTCGCATGGCGCCACTGCGCTCGTTTCGGCACACATCTCACAGGCTTCGTGGCGCCATAGGGAGCTGGCTCGCATGGCGCCACCGCATCCATGTCGGCACACCCTCACACGCCAGTAGGAGTGTCCGCATGGCACCACCGCCCGCAGTTTGGCACACCTCTGACACGCTGCTCTGTGCCCCGTCCTTTCTGCGGCCCGCTGCTTGTGAGGAGAGGGCCGCGTCCGACGGTATTCGCAGGTTGCTCGCCCCCTCCAACGTTTCACCTGCCGTGCGAGACTCGAAGCTGCATATGGTTGGGTCCTTCGCCAGAATAGGGTTCGCAACGTCGCATCTCGAGGATGATTCGATGCTGTGTACGGCAGGGGCGTGTCGTGACGACCCCGGCGGTGTTTCCTGACACCGAGTGGATCGTTCAACCTTGAGCGATTGGCGACTTTCCGATAATGCAGATCATCGGGCGGGTGCTGACAGGGGGTGGCCCACAGGGGCGGTGAAAAAAGGCCCCCAAAGGGACCCTTTAGGGCCCGTTGTGGAGCCAGCTGGTGCCCAAAAGGGGCAATGTAAAGGGCCCCCATCCCAATTTGGATCGCCCCCCATCACCACCCGCCCGAGATCACTCGAGCTCGGCCATTTCCGTGCCCCTGGCTTGAGCAGGGACCGACCGTCCTGGCATTCCTGTAGGCCTACCACGGCATAAGGATGTTCTCAGAACCAAAAACAAATCTTTTAAGAACATAGACACGATGCATTAAAACACGACCATACCGGCCAGAAAGGTTCGAAGAACATCTCGCGCGGACCACAGAAGGTCCGAAGAACATTATTCGGTGGGCCTATAGCTCGCCATCGCTCGGACGTCCATTCCCTGTGTTTCCATTCCCTGTGTTTTTCTCGGTTTCGTGCGTGGCATTTTCGCCAAATGATCAAGGATGCTCCTCGATAGTCCTCGCCGAAGGCAAAAGTGCACACGTCCGAGCGATGCCAAGGCAGGCGAGCCGAAGGCGCTTCGCCGCTGCTTCACCGGCGGCGAACTCGCCCCCTGAGAGCGCCCGCCCGCGCGGGGGTCGCCGCCCGTCGGCACGGCACGAGCGAGGATCGCAGCTGCAGGCCTGCCCCCGAGGGACCAGGCGCGCTGGCTGACAGCGCTCGCGGGGGGGGGGGAGGAAGGAGGAGGAGGAGGAGGAGGAGGAGGAGGATGAGGAGGAGAGGAGAGGAGGAGGAGGAGGAGGAGGGAGGAGGAGGAGGAGGAGGAGGAGGAGGAGGAGGAGGAGGGAGGAGGAGGAGGAGGAGGAGGAGGAGGAGGAGGAGGAGGAGGAGGAGGAGGCGAGGTGTGCGCGTGTGCGCGTGCGGGGGGAACGGCAGGGAGGCAGAGGAGGAGGAGCAGGGGGGGTGGGGGGGAGGGCGAGGAGGAAGGGAAGGAGGAGGGAGGAGGATAGGACCGGAAGTCCAGGTGTTTTGCCACTAGCTGTCTCTGGATGCTGTGTGTCCCCGTGGATCATCAAAACTTGATGAAAATACCTACGATGCCATCGATCACTACGATGGGGGCAAATACCAACTGCGCTTGGAAGCTCACTACGCTGACACTAGATCCAGGAGTCGCAGACCACACGCCCCCTACGCCGAGGCAGGGATATGGCTACGAGATCTGGACCCAAATAAC